GGGGGGGGTCGTAGTCATTATAAGTTCCTGACCTGATGAATGGTGTGTGTGTGTGTGTACAGCGTGAATGTAAATCCATACCAGTGATTGTTTAGTTACTATGATGCACAATTATCGGGGAGAAATAAAAGCTTCAGAGTGCCCGAACGAGAGGTCAGCATTAGCGAAGCCATGGACCTTAATTTCTTTTCTTCATCGCGTAATTATTCTCTGTGTGTGTGTGTGTGTGTGTGTGTGTGTGTGTGTGTGTGTGTGTGTGTTTCCCCTCCAATATAAGTTTTAATTTCAGAAGTACGTTGGCTTAAGTTGTATTTTTAAGTTTAGTTGTGAATATTTAACAACTTCAAAGCGATACTAGTGAAATCCTTGAGTATTAGCCAGACTTGACAGTGGTGTGTGTGCCAGTATTGAACTGCTCTGTACCAAATAATTCAATCATACACAAAATATTAGTTTACTTAATTCCAGATCTCTTTGCTGAAACTATATCTCTTTATTTGTCTTGTTTAACAAATGTTATCGAGTGGAACATCTGAACCATGCTTGTCATTTATTTTTGAGTTAAGTTAATCTGACGAGTTGAACTGAGGAGCCTTGGATTTTGCACTTGGGTGGATTTAGAGGACGGACGGTCGGAAAGACTGACTGCTTAGCTCGTGTAGTTTGGATGTTCAGGTCCGTCTGAGGGAGGTGGTGCGTCTGAGAGTATAGTGACAGGGTCGTGTGTGCGCGCGTGTGCGCGCTGCGACTAGAGAAGATGGTGCTTTGTTGTCCCCAGTGAGAGAAGGTTTACCTCTCTGTTCACTGGGCCGGCCGGTTCAGAGCAGCGACCTTCTCGCCACGCCGCCTGAACCGAGCCAGAATGTAGCTTAAAAAAAAACGGTTAAAAAAAACAAAAGTATAAAAATGGCGGCCGGAGCCTCGATCTGCCTTCTCTGGCAGCTGATCAGCCTCAAACTCGGAAATATATAAAATACAGCGACCGCCGCTCATCGTTGTATGTATTCCAATCAGTATTGGACAACTGGTCTGACCACGAGCGAGCTAGACTGAAAAGAGGCGGGGCTTCTCGTTGGCCTTGTCGTGACTCAGGCACAGGGATGTGACTTGTGATTGGCTGGTTCTTCTTCTGGCTTTTCAGGGACTCGGGTTACGCTTGCCTCTCTGCTGACTCATCCAGGATCAGCTCTCCCTCTCCAACTCCTAAGCTTAACTACAGGAGAGGAGAACGCAAAAACTGACATGAAGTCCGGCTGCAAGTGAGCTCTGGATAGTGTGTATTCCCCTTCCGCTCTTTAATTATTGTACACTTCGTTCATTCTGATTTTTGCCAATGCTTCTCTCCCAGCGCTGATCTGGGAGCAGTTTTTGCCCCTCAGTATCCTTACATTCACAAATTAGTGGGACAAAAAACTGACCCCCGATCGGCAGCTCGGGAGGCAGCGTTGCTCCGCTGTAAGAGAAGGGACACGTCTGTAAAACGCTCTCATTTGTGTTGATGTTACTGTTTGGTTCCCAGCTTAATCTCGCTCTACTGTTGGTGTGTGTGTGTGAGAGTGCGTGTGTGAAGATGCAAAAACCCAGTCTCGTACAGAAACAGTGTGTGAATGCTTGAACACATTATCATGCCAAATTGAGGAGGGAGGGCGAGAGGGAAGGAAAGGGATGGGGGGCGGGGTGTTGTTAGTGTGTGTGTGTGTGTGTGTGTGTGTGTGTGTGTGTGTGTGTGTGTGTGTGTGTGTGTGTGTGGGGGTGTGTGTATTTAAAAAGCTGGACAATGTTAAATGCTTGAATAAAAAATGTCATTTGCAAAAAGATGATGTGAGGAAAAACTTTTCAGTAAGTGAAAACCACCACGAGCAACGTACAATCCCCAGAGCTGCCAAGCAGCTAGCCGACAGGGCCAGAAGAGGGGAGGGAGGGAAGGAAGGAAGGAAAGAAAGAAAGGAGGAGAGGAGGGAAGCTGGCTGGTGATACTCTACTACTTTTAAATGTAAAATAATGTGATGCTGTTTTTTCTCTTGACTTAACTATCCTGTGAGCAGATGCTATAATATTATATCATAACACACCCAACGGCTCCTTACTGTCGATCAAAAGCGCTATAAGGCTACTTTATCTACTTTATCTGACACAAAAACCACAAAAGAAGAAAAAAAACAAACTGTGAGAATCTGCTATCTTTTTGTCATTTTACATTTTAAATGAATACACAACAAACAAAACCCTGAAAAGCTTTAGTCTAACCAGCACAAAGATGTGGGTGGGTGGGTGGGTGGGGTGTTATCAGGGTGGGGGGAGGGGTACAGTACAGAGGGGGGGGGTGGGGGGGTGTCGCTCAGAGAGACTATGCAGTGGAGTGTTTGAACCCAGGCTTCCATGTCCACCTTGGGTTTTTTTTTTGCTTTCTTTAAAAATAAAAAACGAGAAAAAAATAGTGTCCCAAAAATGTTTTAAAAACAGCGTTTCGATGGGATTCCCAATAATATTCCTCAAACATGTCGTGCCATCGTTGAATCGTACTACTACTAATAATAACTGAGAAAAAAAAAACAACCTTTATTACCTACCAACCGTCGGGCCAGTTGTAGCAGGAGAGGACAGGTTAAGATTTGCAAAAGTCCATTTCTTTATTTTCACAGCTTGTCTCCTCGACAGGCCGAGGGGAGTGAGGCCGGTGAAAACTGCAAATTTTACACAACTACAATGTTTTTTATAGAGATTCTATCAATCCACAGTGTGTAGTTGGATCACCTGTAAACCTATTATGCACATTGCTTTGGGAGACTGTTGAAGCTATATATAATATATAGATATATATGAGAATATAAACGTACAGTGTCTATAATCAACGAGAGGGACGTCTTCCTCTCTTACAAACAAAAACAGGAAGTACCTTTTTATTTTCAAACGTCTTCCTCGGGTCATCAAAGGATTTTATCGTAAACTTTCTGGGGAAACTGCACTTTTTGAAGGACAATCTTTATTTGTATGGGTATAAAAATTGACAAAAACGAAGTCGCCTGATATTACAAGGTATAGAAAACCAACTCCAGTGTGCTCTAATAATGAATGTCTCCTCTGATGCTGTCTTTGTTTGGTTTCATTTAATCCGTTTTATTCTCCTTCCTTTGTTGCTTGGTTTGTTCTGTATTATTTTCTCTCTCCTATGTTTCTGGATTTTAGTGCTCTTAAGAGAATCTGTACTAAGGTGTAGAGTAGTAAGTAGTAGGTCTTCTGTTGGCTGTACTCGTATACTGATTACTGTTTGTAACCCTCTGGCTCCTGCAGCCGTCATACAAAGCTGTAAAACTTGGGTACAACCCTCAATAAAAGACTAACGATGACTCGGCTGCTTCACCTGGACTCGTTATTTCTCCGAGTCCGCTTCCTGGTATTTGAGACGACGTGAAATCTCCAACCAATGAAATCCTTCATAACTATTTAATTAAAAACATTTAAATGCTTCTGTGCAATTTCCTTGCATTTTTTTTTGGGTGACCTAATGATTTATGTTTAAAGCAAGTTAGATATTTTAAGTAAAAGGAAGAAATATTTATTTGACCTTTTTATGATTTTGTTTTTTTTTTGTTTTTTTTAATATGACTTGTTTGTTACTTTGTTTTCGAAGTACTATACCATGACTTTTTTCGACATTTTCCGACACGTTTTATCAGTATGGTCGGCATACTATGCTATGACTTTTATAATTTTTTCCGACATACTATACTACATACATATTTCTACATACAATGACTTGACTTTTTCAACATACTATATTATGAATTTTTTTAACTGATGGCAACGTCTCACCTGCCAATCTGGACAAATCGTTCACACACATTCATACAACGAAGGGACAGCACTCGGGTTGAAATGGGGGTAAAGTGTCTTGCCCAAGGACACGTATACATGGACTGGAGGAGCTGGGGATTGAACCTACAAACTTCCAATTCAAAGATGACCTGCTTTCTCCACAGCCACCCCAATAAATAATTGAACCCTTTGAGTGTTTCTTATTTCTTATAGCAATACTGTGTACAAACTGCGAAGAAATATTACTGACGATCTTCATTACTAGTATATTATGTCTTTCAAATGTCATAAGTCATTTTAAAATATATTTTAATCACAAAAAGGTCATGTATCATAAAACATGTCAGTTACAGTATAATTTTATTAAAAGTGAAAGTATGTAATAAAAAGTCAGTGTAGTTAGAATGTTGTAAAAAAATTAATTTTATAGTATTTCATAAAGTCAGACTTGTAAAAAAATAAAATAGTATGTGGAATAAAAATCAGAATTATCACAAGGTATATGGAAAGCCAAGCATTGTATTGAGGTAAACTCATCTTTAAGTAAAATGTCAAAAGTCCTAGTATGTAGTTTGTTGAAAGTCATAGTATCGCGTGTCGTAAAAAGTCATAGCATGCTGAAAAATCATAACTCTGTATAGCTTGTCGCAATAAGTAAATATGAAACCTGAAGGGATAAGCTTCCATGTTTATCCTGTTTAAATAATGATAGTGCAGCTAACCCTGTTAAAATAGTATTACAGCTTGTCATTAGTTTTTTTGTCCCGATAGAATACATAATCTCCAGGAACCCTCGGTGCAGTGGCTACTGTGGTTTGATTTTTTTAAACTGCCAATTTGACACTTTCTCTACAGAACACTAAGTTTCATGATAAAACGGATATCAAAAAGTGTTTATGGTAAATGAAATGCATTATTAAACCATTGTGGCTCTTATTTTGTGTTAGTGCTCAGTTTTACTACATATCCCAGAAGTCTCATTAGCACAGCCAACAACATGACACATCTTGAAAGCACTAAATGCTCTTTTCAGACCTTCAGACTGAAACTTTGTTTTAACTCTTCTACATGTCTCATGTCAAACAGTATTTCTAAACTTGGCATTTTGATATTAATCGTAACTCGACATGTTTGTGCTTCTCCTGTAATACGTGAATAAACATCACAGCAGATACAGAACTATACAGCATGTGTATTTATTGATCTATTTGTGAGAAATTATACATCGGAAACACATTGTGGAGCTGGAAAGAAAAAAAGAAAAGTGAAACCTGTGTTATAGCCATTTTTGATATTTTGTTTATCTCCGAGCTCCGAAATAACATGTTCATTTAAATACAGTCAAACACGAGACACGGTAGCTTGACGTCAACGATGCCACAGTGGACAGAAGCGCCGACGGGGAGGAAGTGGGAAATGTACTTCCTGTGATGTCACGCTGGGGTCAACCTCTCTGTAAGAAACACACAATACTGATGAGTGAGCATACAGCAGCATGCACATGTGTGTGTGTGTGAGATGGTGAAGAGGCAGAAAACAGGGCTGATAAGAGAGACTTGCCTCTGCAGTGAACCAACACATTATTCATAAACGTCCTTCTTGTCTGCAATGTACTGTACAATCTCCTCAGGACTCATCAACTTCTCTGCCTCTGCGTCAGGGATCTCAAAGCCTGCAGGAGGAACACGGAACAGGAAAGGGTTTTCTGTTAAGAGATGCACTTGAACACAACACAGAGATCAGCCAGCTGGCTGCTGACACGCACACATGTTCTGTGACTGCACTAAGAGGTCTGTGTTACATTTACATTACAGTCATTTAGCAGACGCTTTTATCCAAAGCGACTTACAATTCAGAGTCTATCACATTTCTACACCGTAGGCACAGCTACGGGAGCAATTTTGGGGTTAAGTGTCTTGCACAAGGACACATCAACATGCGACTAGCAGAGCCGGAGCCGGGGATCGAACCACCGACCCTCTGATTGAAAGACGGCCCTGCCACGATTGTGGCCACTTAGCCACAATCGTCCCTCCCTGTGTGATGTTGTAAACAGTAGAAACACAGACAAACCGACCAGTTCAATGCCACCGGAAATATGATAAAGTCTCCTCGTGTACCTTTTTCTGTTCAATGAAAACCAGACATCTCTTAATTATTTTCATAATTAAATAATCTGTTCAGACTTTTTTCTATGAATTGATTATCCTCAAATGTCAATAAAATGTTGAAAGATAAAAATCACATTTTCAACCCTTTGTTGACATCATTAGATGAGTCTAACTAACAGTCCCAAATCTAAAAATATATTCAGTTTGCAATTAAAATATTACTATTTTTCTCACATTTGAGAAGATGCAACTACAGAATCTTTCGCACTCTTTAAAAAAAAAAAAAAAAAGGCTTGAACTATTTATCATCGTCAGAATTTTTGCAGATTATTTTTGTCGATTAATTGATTAATTAACTTGTCATTGCAGAGCTGTTCTAATTCTTCTTAAGCAAAATAAACCACTTATCTGAAAAACGCATCGTCACAAAGCTGACCACAGTCCTGTGGTGTTTTTTGGGGAGAAACGTGGTTTTCACAGAACAGACTTGATGTCGTATTTTTTCTTTTTCAGTTTTAAGTGTAACTAGAAAACTGCACACACTGCAGGGGGAAGTGTGCAGACAGACCTGCAGCTACACGACATGCCGACTCACCAAACTCATCCTCCATGGCCATGATGATCTCCACCTGGTCCAAACTGTCCAGACCCAGGTCTTTCATGAAGTGGGAGCATGTGTCCAGCTGTGGAGCAGGAAGTAACACCAACATTACAACACCGTTCACAACCACTGACATTTCACAGTTGTCAGTTTGTCAGCCAGTTGGCGCTCTCTCTCTCGCACCTTCTCAGGGTTGATCTTGTCGTAGAGCTTCAGGACATACATGACGCGCTCTTTGATGGTTTCTAAGGTGAGGGGGGGCAGGTCACCATACTGTCGGCACAACACTCCCACTGAGGGGATCTGAGGAGGAAGAGGAGAGGAGTCAGGAGTAGGCATGACGAAGGTCATGGAAACGCACACAGAGAAATATAACAACGCTTGAATTAGCTTGAAGCCATTTATGCTGACTTTCCATCTCTTTTTTAACGAGTGGGATATTTACCGACGTATTAAATATTGAACAAAACATTAAAACATCTTAAGCATGTATTAACCTCAGACATCCAACAGAAACCCATTCAGAAAACGTATTGACTTGGAGACGAAGGAAGTGGAAGTGAGAAATGCTGACTCAACTCTGGGTTTTAGGACTCACTCCTTCTGCACTTTTCATTGATCAATGCACCTGCATGAATGGGACCAGGTTACACCGCAGTAACACTGCTTCCTGGGTTAAGCAGACAAACAACGGGACGTTTGTGTACAAGCAAAGCTGAATACATTACTCCAGTGCTTACATGACTTTATTAGCCCCTTATGCAAAGCAAAACCAACTTCAAACGTCTACTTAGTCTTTAAAGCATTTATCTGGTTTTACTCTCCAATACATTTCTCACCTTCTCAACGGTAGTCTAGTATTAATCCCTCAGACTATCCGTGTGGTGTTGTGGGTGCTTTATGTTACTTTGGTTGCCCCTCTATGACGCAAACTTCCTGAGATCAGTCTCAACTCTGACCACATTCAAACAAACTAAAAACTTCCATTTTCTAAAGCTTAATATCAGTTACTGTGTGTGTGTCTGTCTTTGGGGTGAATCTGGAGTGTATCACTCCCTTTAGGTGGGTGGGCATTTGTATTTTTAATTCTTCTCTTTATTGTTATGCCTCCATTTAAAAAGGGGCTAAAGGAGCATTTATATTGCCTCTCAATGGCTCTCAGGGTCTGACTGCAGTTGTAATGTAATGTGTGACAGGAACGCTCACATGGATCATTGGTTTACATTTGAAAATACTTGTTTTGTGTAGTAACTTTATTGACCTCAGTCAAATCAGCAGCTATGCAGTCGGTTTTAAGTACTATTTCACTCACTTTTAGTGAAATTCCTCGATAAATTTACCATTGTTTGACTCTGATGAAACGTGGGTTAAATTACTAATGACATACTGAGAAATTAACATAAGTAACTAACTCGATCTTAACTAAGCTGGCTAGCTAGCTTACTGCTAATGATGTAATGATGCTCTCACACATCCTACACAAGACAACTACTGACCAGTGTAGTAGCACATGTTATTAATTAAAGTATCCTGGAATAAACAATAACAATTAACAAAGCAGTAATTCAACTAGCTAAAAATCATACACAACAATTAAATTATAAGCACCACAGCAGCAACTATTGCTCCACCAGAATGATCTTTTAGTGTTATAAGTTGATTAGGTTTAAGTTTCCTCCACATGGCTCTAGACTGAAGGTGAGACAGGGACAACAACACAAGCGTTGGTCAGTGAACTCTCTAAGTTTGCTAGCTAGCTAGCTAGCCAGCTAGCCAACAAGCAAAACATGGCTATTGTGTAATCAAAAAAATGCAACGTTACAGGGTTGTGTGCACGTCGGGCAGGATATCACCCCAACAGACTTTAACTCACGGTTAAATAAACTACTCGCATGTTACCGTGAACTTTAACCGGGCTAGGTTAGCCTGACAGGTTTGAAAGGCGTCGGTAGGTCACAGCAGCGAACGCTAGGCCACGACTGTTCAATGTTACCGCAGACTCTTACCCGGGTAGGAACGAGCCACCGCGTCCTCCGGCTGTCGGCGGAGAAAGAGAGAGGTCGGTGGACGAATGCTGACGGAGCGACAGCGGCTCTGACCGCTAGGCTGCCGGTGGAAAGCCTCAGCGAGGGCCGGGCGAGCGTGCGGACGCACTGCTGCAGGACACGAGCCGCCATGACGGAGAAGAAGTGACTGGAAGAGCTCCCAGCGTGCAAAGCGAAGAAGAAACGGGTCAAGGGCTCCGCAGTACGCATGCGCGCAACTCAAGCCGGAGTCTTTTTATTTTATTTGCTCTGTCGTCAATGTTATTTAGTAAACAGACTATCAAAAAAATATTAAGATTGACTTTATAAAAGGTAAAATAGAAAATTGAAGAGGAAATAAGAGGATTCGGCCCAGAGGAGACCAATCGATAACCGAATCACATTACGGATTAGTTGTTGGTAATTAGGTAATTAATTTAGCAGAATAATTCAACACTTCATATACGCGTATAACTCTCATACGATACAACTAAAATATAAGAATTATACCAGTGGACTTTTTCCATTTGTTGGGCTTAAATTCCATCGACGATTCGGCACTCGGCTCATACTGTCTGAAATGACATTCATAGAATCGACCGAAGAAGAAGAAGAAGCTGAGAGAGAGCTGACAGCAGAGCAGAGAGCAAAACAGATAGAGGGTTATAAGTACTGGATTATCACAACTGTCTTCAATATTTTAGTATATCTTGTATTTATTGCCAGCCATGGAGTTGTCTGAAATACTTTACAACAAAGCAGAGTACATTGAAACGGTAATGTGTTTGATTTTAATCCCTTGTTAGCTAGCTAATCGCTTGCTATTTTGCTAACTGTAGCTAAACAGGGCGTTGGGCTTTGGATGACTGAAGTCATTGTGTTTGTGCTTAAAGTTAAACGACTGATGCACACTTTTATACAATTATTAACCCTCGCTGTCGTTGTTTTTTTAGGCTTCTGGCAACAAAGTGAGCAGACAGTCAGTGCTGTGTGGGAGTCAAAACATCGTACTCAATGGCAAGGTAAGGAAACATCTAACTGACAGTGAATTATGTTGTTATCAATGTACTCTGTTAGGCTGTGGGATAGCTTACATTGTATGTGTGTGTTCTCTCCTCCAGACTATTGTCATGAATGACTGCATCATCAGAGGAGACCTGGCTAACGTCAGGGTGGGCAGACACTGTGTGGTGAAGAGCCGGAGCGTCATTCGACCACCATTCAAAAAGTTCAGCAAAGGGTAAAGAATCCTTCTTTACTGGCAAAATGTAGCAGATTGATTTTCTTTCAGCTGGTGTACAACAGGGCACTGTCTTTGTGTAATAGATTTATTTTGTGTTCTCAATTTCTCGTTGCTTCATGCCGATTAAACAAACACCTGCACTTCACCTCTTTCGGCTCCACACCTCCATCTCTCCTCCAGGGTGGCGTTCTTCCCGCTGCACATCGGAGACCACGTCTTCATCGAGGAGGACTGTGTGGTCAACGCGGCACAGATAGGTTCCTACGTCCACATTGGCAAGAACTGTGTCATAGTGAGTGGAACGAAAGCGCGCACACACACAACCGAGCAGAAATATGAAACATGACAGAGACAAAGCCCCAGTGAGAGCGAGAGGACATAAACAGAAGCAGTGTCTCCTCTGGCCTGTGGGGAAACAGTCACATGGTGCAATAAGCAGAATGAAGACAACACTTAAAGCATTGGACTCAGTAGCAGATGTTTACTGGTGTTGTGTTCAGGGTCGTCGCTGTGTGCTGAAGGACTGCTGCAAGATCTTAGACAACACCGTGCTCCCTCCTGAGACCGTGGTGCCGCCTTTTACCGTCTTCTCTGGATGCCCAGGTCAGCTACAGCACCCAAACACGCACCTGACTCCTCCGCTTTCTGTTCATCCATCATGTCCTTTACCCGAGTTTGTCTCGCTCTCTCTCTCAGGTCTATTTTCGGGAGAGCTCCCAGAGTGCACGCAGGACCTCATGATTGATGTAACCAAGAGTTATTACCAGAAGTTCCTTCCTCTCAGCCAGATCTGAGTCCTGCCTCCAAACCGTCGGTAGGATCCACACCCTTTCCAGCCAGTCGGGGTCTCTCACCAGAAATGGACTCTGAGAGCTCACCTTCTGTCCTTCACCTCACAAAGGCCCCGACTTTCTCTGCCCCAAGGAGGACAAACATGTACTTTTAAGAACATTTCTATGATTTCACAGTAGTTTATAGCTGCAGGAGGCGATTGCAATGAGTCTTGAAAAGTCTTTACTAAACTGTACACAGCACGCTCATGTTTACCATCCAGAGGATCAAAGGTAATCACAATCTTTGCTCTCTGACAGCAGCTGTAGGTGAAGATGAGAAAGGGGAGGAGCTATGAAAGGAAGGAGTGTGTGCAGGTGTATGAACACAGCTTGTAATATACTGTATGACACCCGTGGACCAAAACAAAAGCAACAGCAGCTGTGATTGAGGATGTTGGCTGTACGTGTGAGTCATTCATGTCCACATTTCATTTGGGAAACAGAGCATCACACTTAAATCAGCGATTTGTGAAATGTATTGTTTGTCATTTTATTCCTAATGATGAACTTTTTTGCTTTCTCCTTCACTGGCTTATGAGATTTGTCATAAAACGTATTTAATACAGTGGATTTTTATTTTGTTATGTTTCTAATGATCAACTGACCCCTGTGTCATTTTTCTGTGTGCATACAATATCCAAAGCAAACATCTAAAACGGTGCAGCAATTAAATAAATACGAATGCTTAAACTTATGTGGACTCGGCTCTGTCTTGTGTTCAACAATACAAAACTGTAAAACTCTTCATCTTCTACTTTTTACCTCCACTTACTGTGCTAGTTATTACTCCATAATATCCGCTCCAGAGCATTTATCTTGCATCCTACTATGATAGATTTATTCATGTAAAGTAGCTTGAGGGGCAATGTTTGTAACGTGCACGTGCACACAATCGCCTAACATCTGTCTATGCTATTGTTCTTATCGTTAACTGGTGGTAATGTGCAAAGACATGTAACAATATGCCAGACATCACTTTAAAGCTGCCCTGTGCCGTGTTCTTGTAAATAAGTAATGTTTACATAAAAACAGGGTAACAAAGTGTGCAGCCTCATGTCATCGTAGACTCAGGACGAATAGAAGTTTTTCTAACGCGGTCCTCTGGCGCCACCCAGTGGCCTAAAGCAGCCAAATCAGGGCGGAGATGATCACTTCTAAAGTCACCACAACCTCGAACTAAGCTTCCTTCCTTTGCCTGAAAATGTTCGCTTTGTTTAATTCTCATCTGATAATTTAAGGAAATGTGACTTATCCAAAGCTAAAGAGCTGCAAGGAAACAGATATAAATCCCGGTTTATTAATAGAGGACCCTAAATATTTAAACATTAAGCAAATCAAATTTTGAAAAAAAAACAAATTCCCATTTTCCTTTCTAAATGAAACAGTCTGTCCAATTTCAACTGAATGGTTTTATTTATTTTACAATGTGAACCACATATATCATACCAACAATTAAATGTTAAGTATATAGATTAGCCATTTATTATTTTTTTAAACAAATAAGTATCAAGAAACTGTTGATAATAGTGTTGGCTCCAGAGACACGTGGCATGAGTCAGCCTGTTGAAACAATGTGGATGAAGGCCGGTGATTGGCTCCGGGGAAGAAAAGAGAGAACACTAAGTGCCCCCCCCCCCCCCAATTATAACCAACCATCGGGGGTCAACGCTGCAGGTCACAGTGGGATCAGAGAGACTGCTCGATCCTGCTCACAACTCTTCAGTGGATCCTTTGATAGTCTGAATTTTACTCTATTTTTCACATCTTCCCTTTAACTGACGAGTTGTCATGCAACAGAAACACTGGGAGGTTTTAGAACTACTAATTTGTAACAAGCGCCATTTGGTTTCAGTCAAGAGTGCTCCGGACGTTGAGTGTTGGACACACGACAGTGATTAAAGTGCCAAGCTGTCAGGATTCACTCCATTATATTCCTCCATGAGCACTCTGCAGAGTCCCAGAGTCTACAACGGTCCGATGGACTCTAAATGTCACCTTTTTTTTTGGGGGGGGGGGGGGGGGG